TTTAAAGCAGAAATTAGAAGTCAAAGCAATGGTTCCAACTAACATAGTTATTACAACAGAACAATATGATGGACTAAGAGCTTTCCAGCAACCAGAGTGAAAAGGGAAGCACAACAGGAAAATAATTCCTTCCCCGCCACCTTTATTCTGCTGGACTGACCACAGTCTGCCCTTTTTTAACCACTCCCAAGGGTCAGGTGTAGGATCAGGCCAAAGAAAAGATAGATCCCAGCATTCCCCTCAGAAAGCAGTTGAACCCAACTTGTTCTCCTGCATATTAGAGGAGTTGGTGGGTGACAGCTTAGTCACCCCTTAGACCAAACCATAGGCATTAAGACAGAAGAAACTCAGGCCGGGCGTGGTGCCTCACACCTGCTATCCCAGCACTTTGGGAGGCCTAGGCAGGCAGACAACTTGAGGTCAGGAATTCGAGACCAGCCTGGCCAACATGGAGAAACCTCATCTCTACTAAAAATACAAAAATTAGCCAGGCATGGTGGCAGGCGCCTGTAATCCCAGCTACTTAGGAGGCTGAGGCAGGAGAATCACTTGAATTCGGGAGGTGGAGGTTGCAATGAGCTGAGATCATGCCACTGCACTCCAACCTGGGCAATAGAGTGAGACTCAGTCAGGGAAGGGAGGGAAGGGAAAAGGGAAAAGGGAAAAGGGGAAGGGGAAGGGGAAGGGGAAGGAAAGGAAAGGAAATGAAAGGAAAGAGGGAAGGAGGGAGGGAGGGAGAGAGGGAGAGAGAGAGAGAGAGAGAAACTCAATACCATCTTTCTAACTTCCCAACTGAAGGAGCACATTTAGTCTGAGTACCTCAATAAAGTATTCAGAAGGGAATAGCCATGATAGGACAGCTCTAAAAACTCTACTAAGAAGAATAACACCACCACTCAGCTGGTATTTTAGGGCACCTACTCTTCCAAGCGCTGTATGGTGTGTGCCCAGTGGTCACCGTGGCGAGGAGGTCATGGAGGAGTTTCTGTCCAGAAAAAAAGATAACTACTGGAAGAAAGGAGAGGAGAGAGCAAATGCCATCCCCCCACCAGCCTGTGGGAGGGAGACTCGAAGTAGGGTTGAATGAAACCAAAGAAAAAAAGGAATCAGCCTAGCTCAGTTCACTGTCCTCCCTGCCAAATGGTTGCCCTGGGACCCAGCCCAGAAGCGTCGTTGCTTCTCTGCAGCAGGTGTAATCCAGAGGATAAACTACAGCATGGAGCAAATTACATATGCTGAGCTCTGTCTCAGATCCCAGCCTGACCTGGCTTGCCTTCCAAAGGCAGTGTTTGGAAGTTTTCACTTCTAAAAGGGCAAACACTGCTTCTAAGTCCCAGAGTTTAAGGGACAAGATGCTCTCTGGCTGAGCTCCATGGACAGCCTCAGTTTCAGATTAAACAGAACCCCTCAAAGGCACCATATCACTGTCTGCCCTGACCCCTGCAGCCAAAGTCCCTGACTTAAAATATTCCCCACTGAGGCCAGTTTCTTGGACCCATTGTCAGAGGTACAAAATATAGGTTAAAAGGGGCAAAAGTCGGAGGAGGCTAGAGGCTGAGGGTGGGGCCACACCAGGGATACATTTGTGCATATTCATTGAACAAAGCGGGTGCATGTTGCATACATGTCGCTGTCCACAGGTATACATGTTGAAAGTATGTGAATGGTTGCATGGCTATCCTAAGAAGAGTATGCGCAAGACTGGTGCAATGGACAGGAATGCGTGTATGCTGAGCATGTGAGCGTGGGTGCACTGCGAGTGTTTGTGGGTGGCCACAGCCATCCTGTCTATTTGTCCCCTGACTTCCTGCCTCTTCTCCTGGTTTAAGAGTGGGGTCCCGCAAGCTGTCTCCCTGACCCTGGTCTAGCCAGATTGGGTCAGTCAGAGTCACATTCACTCCAGTGTTGTGTGAGGGCTGAGCTTCCACCCTGCTCCAAGCCCTGAGAAACCAAAGCCGAATGACCCACAGAGAAGACACCCCAGCTGGGGACAAGTCAGGTCACCTTAGAAAGCCTGAGCTCAGATAACACTCCCTAGCCGCAGCTTCTGCCTTCCTGGGTTCACTCTGGCACATCCACTCATCCACATGCAGACTGGCTCAGCTCACCTGGAGTCCTTCCTGCCACACACACACAGGCATTTCCACAGGTACAGACACAGCCCACCCAGGGCAGCAGGTGCCACACAGACAGACACCTGTGGCCCACTCCAGGCCACCACACACACTCTGAAACACTCGTTCACCCACACTCACACCCTAGGGCACATGCTAGAAAATTCCACATGTGGACATCCCACCCAGACACACTCCCTCACACTGGCACAAGCTCCCCTTCACAAGCACTCCCACTGACACACTTACACCTACTATCCAATTAGTCACAAACCTGCACTGTTCCCAACTAGGCTGGCAGAGGCATCACCAGCCCCTGAGTCCAGCTAGGGGAGCTGTCTACTTACTTAGCCTGCGAGAAAGGCGGGTGGTGCGTGCGGCCAGTGGTGGCAGGGCGCAGCTGGAGCTCCAGAGGCCGCGTGCGAAGTGGCCGCTCTGCCGGCCCAGCCTGAGGGGCCGCCCCTGGCCCCCGCCCCCCGCCCTGCTCTCCCCCACCCGCCCTGTCCCAGGCGGCCGCAGCCTCCCAAGGACCTTCCACAGCAGCGCGCTCCCTGCCAAGCCTTGGTCCCGCGTCAGCCCCGGCTGCCTGCAGTTTCCGCGGGACTGCGAGGCTATTTCGGTGCCCCTGGCGGGGGAAACATGGCGCTCCCTCCCATCTGCGGGAGCGCTGGAATGGGGACGCGGTCAGGCCTAATTAGAGACCGGGCTACCCCGGGCCAGGAGGCAGGCACCAGGGTGATTGCCCGGGAGCCGCGGAGCCGTCCGGGCGGGGTCGCCCGCAAGGTGCCCCGCATGCCAACATCTGGAGAGGGGAAGGGAATGTGCCGCAATCGTTTCCCTTGGAGCTGAAACAAAACAAGGAGGGATTTGGGTACAGTTCACTTGCTCGGAAGGAGGAAGCAGCCCGGCTTTGGTCGGTCCCAAACACCTAGAATGAGACAGTTTATTAACCGCAGGTGCTCCCCTCTGGAACCTTGGTCACACACACCTAAGTCACCCTCCACATCCTGGACCTGCCAGAAATGACCAGGAGTTGTTGCAGAAACTCCTTCTAACTTTGTCACATAAGATCAGACCCCACCCCCCACCCCCGTCCTGGACTCTGTGAAATAGCTAAATCTAGAAGAACTTATTCCCACCCAAAAACTCTGGAATGTGGCATTATTGACCTGGAGGAAAGCTTCCAGGTCATTTCATACAACCCCCCGCTCCCGCCCCATCTTGCTATGAGTCCCCCCAGAGCCCAGAGAATCTCGACCTATTGGAGGTCCTCAAGCAAAGGCAGCCCCTGGTCTCCCTTGAGCCCTGTTCGAAAGCTTGAACTCTCTTATTGGCGGAAAGTTCTCCTTGACATCTAACCTAAATCTCTCACATGCAAACTATGTCAATTTGCTCATAATACGTATTCAGGGAGAAGGAGTTCGACTCTGTCCCCATGACAAAATGACCACGCCAAGGTCCTGCTGCAGCTTTCTCTTCCTTGATGCTAATAATCTCTATTTCTTTTTTCAGGCTCCGGCTGAAGCTGACTGCTGCTCCCTGGCTTCGAACACACAGTAGCTCTCTGACATTAACTCTCTTCCTCAGCTCTCTAGGGACCCAGGGCTCAGAAGAAGGCCAAGTCATTCCTCTCAGACAAGCCAGCTTCGACTCTACCCTGCAGTCATCCAGAACAGCCTGATTCTACTCCCCAAGTTCCCTGAGAGGGGCCTCAGTTCCTGTCTCAACAAGTGCTGTCTAGGGCTGGGGACAGGGCTTGGTGCCACCTGACTGGGCATTACCACTGAAACCGCAGTCTTACTCAAATGGGCAGAGTTTGCAGAATCTTCTCTCTGAGTCTGTTTCTGGTAAGGCAGGTGGTATGATAAGAATAGTCTCAGTCAAGAGTGGTGGCTCATGCCTGTAATCCCAGCACTTTGGGAGGCCAAGGCAGGTGGATCATGAGGTCTGGAGCTTGAGTCCCTCATGGTAAAACCCCATCTTATTAATAATACAAAAATTAGCTGGGCGTGGTGGCGTGTGCCTGTAATCCCAGCTACTCAGGAGGCTGAGGCAGGAGAATCAGTTGAACCACGGTGTTGGAGGTCGCAGTGAGCCAAGATTGCGCCACCGCACTGCAGCCTGGCAACAGAGTGAGGGAAAGGAAAGGAGAGGAAAGGAGAGGAAAGGAGAGGAGAGGAGAGGAGAGGAGAGGAGAGGAGAGGAGAGGAGAGGAGAGGAGA